AAGGATCAGCAAACTTGAAGACAGGGCAGTAGAATTCATCCAATCAGAGCAGCAAAAAGAAAACAGAATGAAAAAGAGTGAAGATAGCTTCAGGGACTTATGAGGCACTATCAAGAGGACCAATATTCACATTATAAGGGACACAGAAGGAGAAGAAAGAAAGGAACAGAACACTTATTTAAAGAAATAATGCCTAAAAATTTTCCTAACTTAGGGAAAGAAATAGCTTTCCAGATCTAAGAAGCCCATAGAATTGCTCTGTAGAAGATAAATCCACCCCAGGATACATTATAATTAAATTGTCAATAAAAACAAAGAATCTGAAAAGCAGCAAGAGAAAAACAACTTCTTATGTTCAAGGGAACCGTCCCCCCCATAAGACAAAAGGCAGATTTTTCTGTAGAAACTTTGCAGGATAGCATGATGTAGAAAGATTAAAACTGTCAATGAAGAATACTTTACCTGGCAAAGTTGTTCTTCAGAATTGAAGGAGAGAGAGTTTTCTAGAGAAGCAAAAGCTGAAGGAATTCACCACCATTAGACCATCCTGACAAAAAAAATGTTAAAGGGAAGACTTTAAGCTGAAATGAAAGGATGCTAATCAGCAACTGGAAAACAAGAAAGCATAAATCTTACTGATAGAGGTAAACATATAGTTAAATTTAGAATACTTCAGTGTAGTAATAGTGGTGGGCAAATCACTTATAAATCAAGCATAAAAGAAAAGCAGTAAAAATAACTATAACTACAATAATTGACTCCTGGATACATAAAGTAAAAAGATGTGAATTGTAACAGCAAAATCATAAAATGTGTGTGTATGGGAGGGAGGTAAAAATGTAGAGCTTTAATATGTGGTTGAAGTTAAGCAATTATCAGCTTAAAATAGACTATTATAAGATGTTTTATGTAAGGCTCACGGTAACCACAAAGCAAAAATCTATTGTAGATACACAGAAGGTAAAGAGAAAGGATTTTAAGCATACCAATACTGAAAATCATCAAATCAAAAAGAAATAGAGCAAAATAAGAAAAAAAGGAAAAAAATTACGTAGCAACCCACAAAATGACAATGGTAAGTCAGTACCTATCAATAATTACTTTAAATGTAAATGGACTAAATTATCCAATCAAAAGAAATAGAATTACTGAATGGATTAAAAACAAAACAAAACTATATGCTGCCTATAAAAGACTCACTTAGCTTTAAGGACATGCACAGACTGAAAGTGAAGGGATGAAAAAACATATTCCATATAAGTGGAAACCAGAAGAAACTGGAGGTAGTGATACTAATAACAGACAAAATGGACTTTAAGCCAAAGATTATAATAAGAGACATTATATAATGATAAAGGGGCCAGTCCAACAACAGAATATAACATTTGTAAATACTTGTGCTCACAACAGAAAAGCACATAAATATGTAAGACAAATATTAACAGACCTGAAAGGAGAAACAGGTACATGAAAGATGCCCAAAGGTATGTGAAAAGGTGCTCAACAGCACTAATAATTAGGGAAATGCACATCAAATCGCAATGAGATATCACCTCACATCTGTTGGAATGGCTGTCATCAAACAGAGAAAAGTGTTGGTGAGGCTGTGGAGAAAAGGGAAAATACCCTTATTCACTGCTGGTAGGAATGTAAATTGGTGCAGCCAGTATGGATAACAGTATGGACATTCCTCAGACCATTAAAATAGAACAAATATATGATCCAGAGATCCCAATTCTAGGTATACATTTAAAGGAAATGAAAGCAGGATATCCAAGAGATACCACTGTATTGTATAATTGAAATTTGCTATGAGAGTAGGACTTAAATGTTCTCACCAAAACCCCCCCCCAAAAAACAAAGATAAATATTTAAGATAGTGGATTAGATATGGGGAATCCTTTCACAGTATATATGTATACCAGCCATTTAGATGTACACCTTAAATCTCTTACAATTTTATATGTCAGTTATACTACAATAAAGCTGCAATTAAAGAAGCCTTATTGTTTTAATGAATGGAATCTTAGGGGCTATTTGTTATCTCAATATAACTTAGCCTATCTTGACTGATACACTTATCATATATATTTAGATAGATCTTGTGATCATCAAGGGGACCAATGCTTACCTTTATTTTTATGGATTATGTACCAGGTACATACCTTTAGAGTCTCAAATAATTGGGGAATATTTTCTTCTACGCATCTGTTTGCAAAGTGTTCCTTTAGCTGACTTCAGGCTTATGTATTCAATAACTCATATCACATTCAAATCAAGCATTCCTACCTTCATTCTCACAATATTTGATTACCCCTGTCCATATTTTTCTGTTGGTCTGGCAAATTCAATAGCAACTTTAAGATAAAGACTTTTTAAAGTCTAAATTGTATAGTTACATGATTGAATGTATAGGAAGATTCCTTGAACACAAATGCGATTGACATCAAGAAAATATTAGCTTTGTAGTTCTGCCTGGATGGCACATTGATGGACCAGCACTGCAGAAGGATTCAGCTGCAAATATTTCACATAATTGATGGTGGAAGAAAAGAAAATTTCCACAGAGATTTTTCTATTAATTTGCCACAGGTGCTCAAATTTCTGTGACCTAGAATTTCAAGGATTCATGTTGCTACTGTGATAGCTTCAGGCTTTGCTTCCAGGCTATTTTACAGGCTGTGGCACGGACTTTTGAGAATTTAATTCTCTTTATCGGTAATGCCGCAGTTCGCATGATTATGGTCTAACAGGATGACTGCAGTTTCTCAAAGAACCAAGTGAAAAGTAGCTCAGTTTACATCACTCCGACTTCATGTTCAGTCTTTATCATGCCCATACTGTGTGCAGCTCTGTTATTTTAACTTAACATTATGTCATCTACATGTTTCCACATACAGCTTTACTTTCCACATGTCTTTAATTTTCTTGCTACTCTCCTGAAATTTCTCTGCTAAATTGTTTCTAGAATTTCATGTTTATGTACAGAGATGCAGGAAACATCTTAGTATAAATTGCTTTTTCTATTTTATAATACGTATTGCCAAGGAGTTTGTGCTCCAAAAGCAGTATAACCAAAGTAAGAATTTTTACAGTTCTTACATCTTACATATTGTGAGATCACACTCTAGAATATCAAACTAACTTCCAGTATCATTAGCATGGCATGTGTAGACTTTCCCCCACAGTTTACACAATATTGGATTATATTTTAATTTATGTGGACAATGGCTTTTCAAAATACAAATACGATAAAAGTAACCATCTTAATCATTTTAAAGGTACAGTCCAGTGATATTAAATATATTCATAATGTGGTGCAACCATCAGAACCGTCTATCTATATAACAGTTTTTATCTTTTGTAAATTTTTAAAAGTATGTCTTTATTGATTTCAGAGAGAGGAAGGGAGAGAGAGAGACAGAAACTTCAATGATAAGAGAGTCGTCATTGACTGGCTGCCTCCTGCACACCTCACACTGGGGATCGAGCCCANGCCTCAGATCGAGCCCACAACCAGGCATGTGCCCTGACTGGGAATCGAACTGAGATCTCCTGGATCCTAGGTCGATGCTCAACCGCTGAGCCACGCTGGCCGGGCAGTTTTTATCATTTAAAACTGAAACTCTATACCCATTAAACGATAGCCTCCCCTCCCTCCAGTCCCTGGAAACCATTCTATTTCTTCTAGAGCTATTCTCTTTCTGGTTACCATNTTATTTTCCCCTCCCTCCAGTCCCTGGAAACCATTCTATTTCTTCTAGAGCTATTCTCTTTCTGGTTACCATGGGGTTACACTTAACATTCTAAAGTTATAACACTCTAACTTGAATTTATACCAGTTTAACTTAAATAACATACAAAAACTATGCTTCTTTACAGCTCTGTCCCCATCTTTTTTTGGTCATTGGTGTTACAAAATTACATCTTCATACATTATATGCCCCCAAACATAAACTAATAATTATTTTTAATGCATTAATCTCTTAAACCATGTAGAAAACAAAAAGTAGAGCTACCAAAAAATTGTTACAATAAAAATAGCTTTTATAATTTCCCATTATTTATCTTTATTGAGATCTTCATTTTTTTACATGACTTCAGGTTAATGTCTAGTGTCCTTTCACTTCACTCTGCAGAACTCCTTTGAGCATTTCTTGCAGGTAGGTTTACTCCACCGTCTTTCCAGAATTCTCTATAATTTCAGTAATTTTAATTTGGATTTATTTACTTGATATGAAGCTGTATGTTTGTATAAGGAAGTTAACATTTATAATTTTTAAATATTCAGTGCTCTGATTTGTCTACTTTGTTCATTTCAAATGCTGGGAATATATTTGGCTGCCAAAAAAGGAAATTCAATTAAAGGTGACTGTTTTAGGGTTATTTAGAAAAAGAGAGCCAACAGTACATATGTTTATTTATTATGAAGCATTGGCTCACATGATTATAGAGGCTGTGAAATCCCAAGATCTGTAGTCAGCAAGCTGGAGACTCAGGAGAACTGATGGTGTAGTTCTAGTCAGTATCCAGAGGCCTGAGAACTAGGAGAGCCAATGATGCAAGTTTTAGCCTAAAAACGGGAGAAGGCTGAGGTCCCCATTCAGACAGTGAGAGAGTTTTCTTCCAGATGTATGGGCCTTACTGGACTTAAGAGCTCCGTTTATCTCCTGGAACCCACGTGTTCACCTCTTGGTCACGAAGGCACTCTCAATATTCTTCCAAGTTTGAGGCTATTTGTGATGTAAAAGACCATCCAAATTATCGAAATAAATTTCATATCATATTTTCAATGAGACAATTATAAAATTGAAATTTCTAAGTCATTTTTCCAAAAGGAAGCATTATGTTTACATCAAAAGCAAATAAAACAATATTGTGCACTTGTCCTCATATGCAGACGAAGACAAGTGAAAATCCAAAGCCAAAGACAGTCGCTTAAAACAATACTTGTGGTTTATTTCTACTTTTAAAGTAACCTGGTGGCTTATTTTCTCAAGTCCTCACACAGGTATTCAGGAATACCAGGATGGTGTGCCAAAGATCCCAACAGCCTGCATTACAGTGGAAGATGCAGAAATGATGTCAAGAATGGTTTCTCTTGGGAACAAAATTGTCATTCAGCTGAAGATGGAGGCAAAGACCTATGCAGAAGCTTATTCCTTCAACACTGTAGCAGAGATCATTGGTAGCAAGTATCCAGAGCAGGTGAGTGAAAGAGACAATAGGTTGTGTGGGATTAGGGAGCTGTGGTCAAGAGATAACATGATCCTGCTGAGATGGTCCTCGTAGACTCATTAACTGCAGATGCTTCATATATATAGTTTTCCCATCAAAAGTTTTACTGCATTAACTGAAGACAGGAAGCACTGGTTGAAGAGTGGACTAGGATCCATGGTGTGGAAATTCAACCTCTGAATAGCTGAGGGTAATATTTGTATATATGTGTTGTATTTCTTCCGTATGGAGCCTGCTTGGCGTTTGAGATCATACCAATAGCTAATAATGTGCTTATTATGTGAATTCTCTTGGTCCTTTCAAAGCTCAGTGAAGTAGGATCTATTTTCTTCATTTTGTAGGCAAGGAAACGGACATAGAGGGAAACACTTTTTTAAGGCTCACACAACTAGTAAATGGCTGAGAAAAGACTCAAACCCAGGACCTTACGAATATTAAACCAAGCTTTAAACTACAGTTTATGTGCAATATTCAGAGTTTTCATCTGTTTAGTTAAGTTTAAAATTCAAATAGTCTTAAGGGAAGATCCAGACTATCTACTAGCTGCAGGTTAAATAACTTTGGCAAGTTCTTATTCTCGGAGCCGTAGAGAACGTATCTGCAAAGAAAGAGATGGTATATATAACTAAGGATTGTGTGAGTGCTAGATTAGATCGTGCAAGTCAAATAACCTAGGATGGTGTTTGACACATCGCAGGTGCCCACTGATGTGAGTTTACTTCACAGGGCACGCAGTGCATGGAAAACCATTTTTATAAGGTTTCTGGTGCAAATTTACTTTATTGGTAGTTACTGAAATTCTGAAAATAGCTTAATATTATTTTAAGTTCATTATGTAGAATAGCTTCTTTTAATAACGTAGAAATAAAGTCGTTCAGGAGTTTTAGACTTGTCTTGGTTTAAGGAGATCAGCTGGATGAAGAAAAAGTAAACTGGTGGAGAAGCGACCTCTGCCCATGTCCTGACTCGGGGCCTCTCCCGTGCTTGTTTTGTGTTCAAGGGTCTTCTCCTTTCCCAAAGTACCTGCTTCTAGGACTTGGACACGAATCAGGCAACCTTGGTGTGTAGCCACAGGGATCATAGAAAAGCAAGACCTCAGTAGGCCCATAGGGAGCCAGAGAGCTGTAGGGAAACTGTCGTTTTAAAAATTGAGAAAACAGAGATTCAAGGTGACAGCAGACTAGGTGGAAGTCACCCTTACCTCCTCCAGGACCAAACTGGAATTACAACTAAAATATAGAGCAGTCAACCTGAGTAACCAACTGAAGACTAGCTGGATGGAAGTCTTATAACCAGGGACTTACAGACCAAGGGTGGAGATGTGAAAAGGGCTGGCCCCGCTCCCAGGCAGCAGCTGAGGTTCAGGAGGGATGCGTCAGTTACCAAGTTTCCCTGAGGAGCTGGGGTCTCAACCCCATTCTGGGCTCCCCAGCCCAAAGCACCAGAGCCAGGAAGAGGTGCCCACATAACATTTGGCTGTAAAAGTTAGTGGCATTCTGTCTGCCGTGGGGAGGCAAGAGTCTTCTAGAGGCACAGGTGCCCTCAAACTCACCGGACAAGGGCAGATTATGTGAAGGTGGGGTTTAGTGCGCCGTGGAGGAGACTCTCTCACATGTTGACTCCTGGGACTGGCCCATTCTATTGCTCCTCAGAAATTCCCCAAGCTTTATTCTGAGGCTTGCTTATAGTAAATGCAATATTTTAAAAATGTTAACATAGTCAAGAATTCTTATGAGGGAATTGTGTGGAAGAGAGAGGTGTCTGAGAGTTTCTCTTTCGGTTGATAATATCCAAAGCCATTTTGATAAAGCCCTGATGAGTGGAATTGCTTTTTTATATATGCATTTTTCCTACGGCAGTTATTTCTGTGGATTCAAAAAACAATTTCAGTCTCATATGCCAGTATTATTTCAAATACACTGCAGCACTATGCAGGCAGGCTAGTGGCAAACATTGAAACGAAAGCTCTACTTTGTTAACTGAACAGTTCACTTTTTCTTTTTTTCTTTTTTCAGTGTAGGTCCAGGTTTCTCAACATCACCCCTATTGACATTTTGGGCCAAGTAATTCTTTGCTGTGGGGAACTGTCTTCTGTACTGTAGAATATTTAGCAGCGTCCTTCTCCCACCCCCTATAGTTGTGACCATACAAATGTCTCTGGACATTGCCAAATATTTGGAACAAAAGCCACCCCAGACTGGGAATCACTGGTGTGGAGTAGTGGAAAGAGCACTGGATGGGTTTTGCCAGGCTCTGATTCTGGTTTTATTTTGTCACAAATAAGCTCAGTGATCTTGGGCCACTTAATCCTTCAGCTATAGAACGGGAGCCTGGTCTGGAAAAATCTGGAAGGTCATAAAATTTCGTTATTTAAAGAAAAAACGTGGAGGTTATCATCAGACTGGTGGTCCACACTGTAGACTGTTAGATAGTAACAGGGCAGGCTGGGACCTCTCATTATTGGGCGGCTGGGGGTGTTGGTAGGTGCTTTTGTTTGCCTGTTATATTGTCTTTCCAAGTACAGTTAGGAGCTCTTCTTCCAAAAGGTAAAGCAAACTCCTCTTTTGCATTTCTTAGTCTTTAATGTGCTAATGTGCACTGGTAATTTTTAAGAGGTCATTTTGTGACATCCCCCAAGCTTTTTGAGAAATAGTAGGGGAGAGGCCTAAGATCCATTGGGTAGCTTATGTTTGGATGTGTTTTTATATTCATTTTTTTCAACTATTCGTTAATTCAACACACATTTATTATCTGGTATGTGTCAGCCACGAGGGCTGTAGCATAGCCTTGGATGCGCTTAGTTGGAAGCATGCCTGTAGGATTCAAATCCTGCGACTTACATTTTGTTGGTGGGCTGTTTGCTTCTCTGACCCTCAATAAATATCAGCCCTCTCTGGAGAGGAGAGAGTTGTGCAAAAGCAAGGAGTTGAGAAATAGGAGAGGCCCATCAGCAAGGACTACAGAGGGGCTGGCAGGCCTGTGGAGGCCTGGGGCTCTGTCCTGTTGCCAGCAGGGAGTGGCTGCAGGGTTTTAGCCGTAGGCTTGATTTTAGTTCACTCTGGCCACTGCGTGCATTTGAAGGGGCAAAGACTGAAATCTAGTTAGGAGCTAATAGGACTTAAACTGAGACCGCTGAAGTAGGTGGAAAGGAGGAGAGGATTCTGGAAATATTTAGGAAATAAAATTGGCAGGAGTTGTTAAAGTTGGCATATAGGGAGAAAAAAAGATAAGTCAGTTTGAGTGAGTAAGAAAATTTGTTCATTAATTCTATGGGGATGTACTGAGCTTCTGCTCTATCTCTTGTATATCAAATCGCCCTCACAGCACTTGGGGGTTTGTGGTAGAGACTGGAAAATAACTACGTGACTGCAATAGAGGATGGTAATAACATGGCAGTGACATGGCCCAGTGAGGACTCATTTCAGGGGACCCATCCAGATCAAGAAGGCCAAGCAAGGCTTTCTGGAGAGATCCCGCTCATTCCCCCAGCGTGACTAGTTAAGCACGAGGAGCTAGTCATACTTAAAGGTTATGGGAATGGGGTTGGGATGGGAAACAGTCCAAGCAGATGGAGCAGTGTTTATGGAAGCCCAAAGAACAGTGTTATTTTTTTTTTTTTAAGGAATGTAGTATGACCTCCCATCACTTGCGAATCCCTGTTTTCGTGGAGTTATGCCATAAAATAACCTAAAGGAAAAGACATGGCTTATTTCATGTACATGTATTTTGAAAAATAAATTATTGAAAAGCTCAGCGATCCCTTTGGAAACAGTTTTAACGTTGATGCTGTCAAGGCCCCGTGGAAGGAGTAAACAAAACCCGACCGACCGGTGGACGGCCTCACTCCCCGCACACTTGAGTCGTTAGAGGCCGCGCAGCAGACCGGCGCTGCTTTCATCCCAATACGTAGTCTGATGATTTGAAAAACCTTCTTAATGGGCCCAGCAAGTGATGCTGCCTGGGTGGGAGCCTGTTTCCTAGCTCGAGCAGCTGTTTAAACTTTCATGAGCGAGGTAATTATTAAATCTTTCATGAGCGCGAGGGTTGGAACAGTTGTTCTCGCCTGAACCTTGAGTTGGAAAGTTTTGAGGAGGTGGGGTTAAAGAATTTGAAGCTGGCAAATTGTATTCTTTTTTTTTTCTTTTTCCTGTCTTAGTATAAACTTTTTAGAACGGCCAACCTAAATCATGGAAGGAAAAATACATGTGTGGTAAGCATGAGACATTTCACTGTTTATTTTTCAAATTTCTGAAATGTGCTCATAGCTGGCCATGCCTCTGAGCATAAAGGCAGCAAATGGAGATGGCCCGAGCCGGACAGGCTGGTTTAGGTAGATAGCCACCCAGGTGGGCAGGCAGACCCGGGACAGCTTCTCTCCCCTGTGCTCAGTAAGTCATCCTAGTGAGCCGCAATGGGACCGGCCAGCAGGAGGATGCCGTCTTTCATAGGCCTGAACACCTTTCCCTGACTGACAATGGAGCCATTTAATACGAGTCATGATCATAAAGGGAATGATAATCTGCATTCAAGGAGTACTGACTGTGTGACAGGCAGGATTCTAGATGCTTCTCCTGCATTTTCTCCTTGAGTCTTCACTGCGACCTTGTCACGTAAGCAATGCTGTTATCCCCATGTTACAGATGAGAAAACCGAGGCTTAGAGCGATCGCAAGGTTCACAAGACTTCTGCGTGGCGGACCTGGGTGTTAAACTCAAGCCTGTCCTATCCCGGGGCCTGTACTCTACCAGTTTGCTATCCTGTGCCCCTTAGTCTTTTCCTGTTCCAGCTGGTGGGACACTGTTACCTAAAGAGTTTCCTGTTTTACCCTAAATGAAAACCAGGGCAACTGTCAGCACGGTAATCAACAGCGACAAAATGCCTACTCTATGGAGAACTCGATGTTACACGTTGGGGAAGATTTTGAGCCAACAAGGACACCCTCGTAGTAAAGGGACCCTGGCCTGGTGGGA